TTCTTGCAAATTTTTGACTTTTTAAGCTCAGAAATTTCCTGGGGGTTTTTTCTACAAAATTTTAATCTCAAAATTCGAGTTTCTAGGTAGAAGTTTACTTCTTTACTTTTTTCGTTTTTCTACTTACAATGCCCCAAATACGCCTTTGTAGAAATACATTTAACACCTAACATTCCTGAAGAATAAATGTATAAAGCATAAAAGCAGAATCGATTGAAGACTTTAAATGCAGGAAGCAGCTTAAAACCACAAAGAGTCGGTGGATTTGTATCAGGAACAATAGAAACCTTTTGGTTTTTTACTCATCCATCATCTTATCTCTACTTTTGCTCTCCTGAAATCCCTCCACCATCTTTCCTTTGCTTCATTTTTCACCTTGGCAGCCACATATACCTTTTTTTGTTGTTTGGTTTCTAATGCTTGGCTCTTTCCCAGGCTTCCTCAGAAATCCTCCTCTCTGCTCTGTCAGGACGGTTAAGTCCGCTCCCTCCATTCACTTCTCCTTTATCTTTGCTCTTCAGAGCAGCTTCTGCCTCGTGGGGTCGGGGATGGGATCCCTCCTCTCTCATCTGAAGCAGCGGGGAGCCTTCACAGATTAGCTGCAGATGCTGAGGTTCCCATCGCGTGCCACACACAGTCAGCCATTTAACTGGAGCAACATCTGCTTTTAGCACACCCATCTGAGCATTGGGGAAGCCTTTGTATTCACGACTCAGCTGATTGCAGAGCCACATGTCCCGTCAGTGCATACTGTGGATATTTGAGATAAAGTTCTTCCTCTGAATTAACATTTTTTTAATGTTTGGTTACTGGTCTGGGTTCAAATACTCGTTTATAATCATTATTAACATGTTAATTAGGCTGAAATCCTAAATAACTAATAGCTCATAGGTATGTTATTAATTAATCTCTAAATATTTTAGAAATCATGAATAACTGTTTATCATACATTAATTAAGGGCAAAAAGGAGACACAATCTACTAGTTTCAAACTAGTGTGCAGAAGAAGAACGCTGACATCACACAGTGTCACACTGTTTATGGAAATAATAATGGACGTCAATTTTAAAATTTATTCAGCAATAAAACTTAAAAGTAGCATCAAAAAAGTTTTATTACGACGAAGGAAGCTAATAAAAACAAAGCACAACTAATAGCGATTTCCTTCTGTAGAGAAGTTTGTTTGGATGTTTGTCAGAACTGAGAGTGGTGGGTTTGTGATGTGACACAAATTTCTTTCATAATTTAATCATAATCTGTATTTAGACAACGTAAGAACAAACCTGTTGGATTAATTTTATTCTCAAAGTTCTTCATGAGTTTCCATCCAAGTAATTATCTGGTTATTACAGGAAGTAAAGCGGCTGTTATTTAAAGGCACATTCCCACAGATGCAGAGTAATTAGCCAACCAATCTAGGGTTTCTTTCAGAGATGATTATGTTAGTAATGATAATTGTCTTATTCCGGGTGGAACCGGCTAAACTGAAATAATGACTTTCGTTGGGAAATAAAACATTGTGATGAGCCACAGCGATGCGTGTGAAATCAGCACTTTGCCTCTAATAAACGCGGAGGCGCAAACACCAGTGTGAGCTGAGCTGTCCTGCAGGCACGACTGTGTGTTCCTCTGCACACTCCATTATGAATAATAAGCAGAAAAGAGACACAATTTTACAGGTTATTAGGCAGGCTCATCCTTGCTTGACATTTTGCTGGGTGTAATCCGTTTTGATGTATTTAATTCGCGCGCCGTTCGCATTTCAGTGGTGTTTGTTGCAGCTCGCTGCGAGCGAAAGAACGAATGGAGACGCAGCAAAACAAGTGAGGGTGGATCAACATAATTAGAGCGGAGGGGGCTCCTGTGGGAAGTTAATCCAGGTGGCAGACATCTCCACAATCTCCGTCACGGGGAACGTCTATGTTCCAGATGGATGGCATTCATCCTAAAGCAATTGTTTGCTCATCGTGTGTAGAACAAAATCATTAGATTAGGTGATTAGAAACCCTAATGTTCGCTTGTGGATAAAATGGATCCGAATGAGAATTAAAACAAAAGTGCAGAATGAGCGCATAACGGCTTTCTGGGGAGCCAAGTGAAAGGATAAGCAGTGGGATGATGTTAAAGTGAATATTTGAACAATTCAGCACATTTCAGACACAGAGCAGGCTGCAGAGAATGAGGACTTTCTCAGGTTTAAAGAGCCTCTCTGTCGGGTCTAGTGCCATCTAGTGGGCTAAGGTAGAAACTACCGTTTATGTGGAA